CCCGCCACTTCTCCATGCCCCGCTGCGGGCCGCCAACTGTCCGCGGAGGACAGATTTGGGGGCGAGAGGAAGAAGAGGATGGTGGGGCTTCGGGTCGAGCGGGAGGACGCGGCCAAGTTAGGAGAAGGGTTTCCTCCTCCTGGCCCCCTGCGACTCGCAGGGCGCGGGGTGGTTGCGGCGGGAGCGAGGGTGAGAATGAATGGCCAGGCTTGGGGTGGGAGGCGTTCCGAGTGCGCCCTCGAACCAGCACCCTGTCCCACCTGCTTCGCCCTGCCTGGCGCCTCGCTCCCCCCGCGTCCCTGCTTCTGAGCTCGACCCGCCTCCCGGCTGAACTTGAAGGAGCCGGGGCGGGAGGCGCGAGCCGGGGGGGATACTCCGGATGGCTCGGGGGACCCAGAGTCCGCTATTGTTCCTTTTCTGACTCCAGGGAGCCCCCTTTGGCCGCTCCAAGGGCCCAGGCGAGAACCCCCCACCCCCACTCCCGGGCCTGCCACTGACCCCCTGCCTTCTTGTCTTTCTCCCCGCCGCGGCTCGGAGGAGGGCGGGGAGGAGGGGTGCGGGAGTTGGGGCGTCTGGGACTTGGGGGGGAACGAGGATGTGGAGCCGCGAAACGGGAGCCCGCCATCTCTCGCGACCCCTGTCCTGGAGAGTTGGGGATTCACCCTCCTCGACCACCTTCCCTTCGCTGCCACCTCGGGCGGGTTGTGTCCGCGGTCTAGTGTCTGCTGTAGGTAGGGCTCATCTACTAATCCTTTGGGTTTCGCAACCCCCTTTTGGGGGAGGGGGCCCCCAGAGCCTGGAGACGCGACAGACGGGGAATTAAGGCAGATGAACCCGGTGTAACGTGGTGGGGTCAAAATGACCGCACAGGGGTCTGGGCCTGTGCTATGTATCCAGGCCCCCCCCCCCCTCTTTTTTTTGCAAAGATCTCGGCTCAACCAACTTTACTTTTAGGGATGATTATAGCGTATCTACCGACTCCAGGCAGCTCACCCCAGGACCGGCGGCTTTTCCTCGCTGCAGGCCCACAGGTGATTTGGATGGGATGCCTTTTTCTTTCTGGGAGAGGAGACTGCTGAGCTGCCTGGGATGGGAACTCTGCCAGAGATCTGGGGAGTGTGATCTCAAGGCTGTAAGGGCCTGGCAGAGAGAGGAACTGTCCATCAGTAGGACATAGCAGAAGCTCAGCTCAGCGAGGAGAGTCTCACCTTCCTGAGGTTTGAACAGAGTTGGAGAAGAGGTCATGAGCCGCAGGGAGGCTGGATTTTGGTTGCTCTGTCCCCAGCCTGCAGGGCCCTGCTCACTCGTGTGACTGGAAGTTTTATTACCAATGGATATAATCGGATAATCTTTTCTTTTTCTTTTTTTGAGTTGGAGTCTCACTCTGTCGCCCAGACTGGAGTGCAGTGGCCGCTCTCGGCCACCGCAGCCTCGACCTGCTGGACTCCGGCGATCCTTCCCCCTCCACTTTCCAAGTAGCTGGAACTACAGGCATGCGCTACCACGCCCGGCTAATTTTTGATTTATTGTGGCGATGAGGTCTCGCCAAGTTGCCCAGGCAGGTCTCGAACCCACGGGCTCAGACAATTCACTCAGCCTCCCAAAGCGCGGGATTACAGGCTGAGCCAACAAGCCCGGCTGGATAATCTTTTCTTAACGATGCCTAACAAGTGCGTTCTTTTTTCCCCCTGTTGGGCTTGTGAGGCAGTCGATTTTATGTGAGGAAATGTATCCAGTTCTTATCTTTTAACCAGCGAGCACGTGTAGCATGGATTGGGAGAGATGGCCCATGCTGGGCTGTCACACGATTATCTTCATTGACTGAGATGCTTCATTAGTGAATTTATTGCGTCATTTACACTCAGATTTTATTTTTTTTATAGCTTTTGGGTATGATGTTGTAGGCATTGGTTATAACCTTTTTGAAAAATCTTATTACTGTTATCAGTGAATTGAATAAAAATAATGGATGCTGAGCCCCTCCTTGCTCCCTTTCAATGGGGGAATGATGCAGTGTCCCTGCCCACTAGTCATGTATCTGACAATGGAATTCTGTCTCCAATCTGCTACTTCTCAAAATATGTTTCAGGCAGGTGTGCTTACTATCACCCAGGCCTTAAAGGTGAAGAAACTGAAATTTGGAGGTTAAAGACAACTGGGCTTTGGAATTAATAGAAGGTGCTAGAAAACTTTTGTCCCTTCCTCCCTCTCTTCTCCTCCCCTTTCTTCCTTTAAAAATAATAACTGGCCAGATAAAGCTAGCTACTTGGGAGGCTAAGGCAGGAGGATACCTTCAGCCTGGGCATTTGAGACTAGCCTGAGCAACATAGTGAGACCCTGCCTTGAAAATAAATAAATTAAAAAAAAATATATATATTTTTTAAGTTGGAGTCTCACTTTGTCTCCCGGGCTGAAGTGCATTAGCACGCTCACAGCCACTGCAGCCTTGACTTGCTGGGCTTAGGCTATTCTTCCACATCAGCCTTCCAAGTAGCCGGAACTACAGGCATGCACTACCACACCTGCCTAATTTTTTGATTTATTATAGAGACGTGGTCTTGCCAAGTTGCCCAGGCTGGTCTTGAACCCCTAGACTCAGGCAGTCCTCTTACCTTGGCCTCCCAAAGTGCTGGAATTACAGGCGTGAGCCACTGTGCCTGGTAAAAAATATTTCTAACGTAATAACGAGAATATAGTAAGGCATCTATTTTTCTATTAGGTTTAAGAGTTGCTAATATTTTTATATATTTGCTTCGTATCCCCTCTAATTAAACTGTAATTTAAATATTTTATTCATCTGCCTTCCTCTGCCTCCAGCCTCAGGTACCCAGTAGTATGAAGTTAGTGTATACGGTTCCCAAGCATGTTTTGGTGCTTCTGTATATTATATAGTAGCTTCACAAAAAAGTATATGTAAATTTGTTTAACATTTTATCTAAATGGCATAATTTTATATATATGCAACTCACGTTTTTTTAGCTTACCGTTATGTTTTGAGGTACATGCAGATCTTTATTCACTTTAGCTATGATGGAGAATGCCAGTGTATGAATATGTGGTAGTATACTCATTCCCTTGCCAAGAGAAAATTAGTTTCCGGTTTTCTGTTGAGGGACAGTCTGTTTTCACTTATTGATTGATATTGATTTTTTTACTATTACAAACAGGATGTACAATAAATATCCTACGATATGTCTCTTTGCGCACACATTTTTCTGTTACACACCTATACAGTTAGTTGTTGGGTAGTGAGGTCTAGGTAGTACTGCTTTTATTATTTCATTCGCTTCTCAACAAATACTTAGGGTGTTTGCAGGGTCTCTCATGACTAGCTGAATAAAAAAGTGAAACTGATCAAATTTAAGCTCTAAGAAGATTATGGTAATTGGCTGGATTATTTCTTGTTTGTTTTTTTCCCTTCAGTTTTATTATTATCTTTTAAATAAGAAAAATGTCTCCTCATTACAAAATTGAAGCATGAGGAAAAACTGTGTTGCTGAGTGTGGGATACTTGTATTGCAGCCTTTTCTCAGTCACTGGTGTGTGACCTCGGATTACTTACTCAACCTCTTCCGCAAATGTGGCTCTGTTAGTGACACATTTTGCCCCTAGTGGTAACCACTTCAACTGGAAGGAGTTGAAGGCATTTAAACACGTTGGCTTCCTCATTATTCCTTCAAATTACCATGCACATTCCTGCCTCAGAGCCTTTGCACTTGCTGTTCCCACTACCTGGAAAGCACCTCCCAAGTAGATGCTTACACGACTGTGCCCTCAAACCCTCAGGTATTATGTTCAGACACCCGCCTCTAGTCCACCCTGCAACCTCTCTTCCCTGCTTTTTTTTCCTCCAAGGCACTTACCGCCCTCTAGCTTGCCAGGTACAGGCTGAGAATTCTTTATTGGAAATGCTTAGGACCAGAAGTGTTATCATTCTCTAATCCGAAAATCCAAAGACTCCCATAAGCATTTTCGTTGAGTGCCAAGGGGCTCAAAGAGTTTCAAATTTTTGAGCATTTCAGATTCAGAGCTTCAGATTAGAGATACTCAGTCTGTTTCTTAATTTATATTAGTGGCTGGTTGCAGTGGCTCATGTCTGTAGCCCCAGCATTTTTAGAGGCTGAGGCGGGAGGATCGCTTGAGTCCTGGAGCTTGATACCAGCATAGTGAGACATTGTCTCTACAATCAAAAAATTAGATGAGCGTGGTCGTATGCACCTATAGTCCCGGCTGCTTGGAACACTGAGGTGGAACGATTACCTGAGTCCAGGAAGTTAAGGCTGTGGTGAGCCATGATTGTGTCATTGCACTTAAGCCTGGGTGACAGAATGGACTCCGACTCAAAAAAAAAAAAAAAAAAAAATTAACATTGTCTTCTACACTAGAATATGACCTCCATGAAGGCGGGGGTCTTGCCACACTTGTTCAGTATTGTATTTCTTGTGTCTAGAACAATGTTGATGCATAGTAGAGAAACAAATGTTTGAGGAACAAATGTGATTATTTACCTGAAATTTCTCTTTTTAACACCCGTTGGACATCTTAAATGCTGCCAGTTGTTCCACTGCTGTTAAGTGCTCCATATGTCCTATTTACAGGTTCCTTTAGGATAAGAAAACATGTGTTATAAAGAAACCACTCCATTTAAATCTGTGCAGTTTATCACACAAGCCGCTTGTGTCTTCAGATTCCATCCCCCAACATCTTGCCTAATCCTGAATTAAGAGGAAATATAAGTAACACATTGCTCAGAAACACATAGACATTTCCCTTTCTTGATAACCAATGTTATCAATGTGGAGTATACATAACCAAGGGACGCTGACTCTATTCCATACAGCATCAGGCCAGCAACCATCTCAGTCAACACCAGTCACGCTGAATTTCTAAGCACAGAAGAATATATTTCACTCAATTGTTGTGGAAGGTATATCATCATTGTCCTCATCTATGAGGGTTTTTTTTTTTTTTTTTTTTGGCAAGGGGGGGTGGAGAGGTGTTTTTCATGATGGAAGGAAAATGATGACCTTAATCTGAAGATCTAGGAGCAACCAATATATAGTTAGGTATCTAGAAATACTCTTATGTACATCATAAAATTCTTAATTCATGGTACAGAAGACATTCACTGTTATGGTGCAGTGTGTTATTTTGCTAGAAGGCAACTGAATTTTCTCTACCTTGCATGATGAGTATAGGAGTTGACAAACCGAAGCTAAATATATCAAAGGCCTAGGGTGTATTTTAAGGATGAGATAGAGAAAAAGATTCTAGACATTTTCCCCAATTAACCATAGAGGTATGTAATACTGATGCTATCTTTTAAAAATTACTGAGTATTGGTTGGGCTCGGTGGCTCAACCTGTATTCCCGGCACTTTGGGAGGCCAAGGTGAGTGGATTGCCTGAACCTGTGGGGTTGAGACCAACCCTGGCAACTTGGCGAGATCTCATCTCTACAATAAATAAAAAATTAACCAGGCATGGTAGCCCATGCCTGTAGTTTCGGCTACTTGGAAGGCTGAGGTGAAAGAATCACTGGAGCCCAGCAGGTCGATACTGGGGTGGCTGTGAGTGTGTACTGCACTCCAGCCTGGGCGACGGAGTGAGACTCCAACTCAAAAAAAAAAAAAAAAATTTCTGAGTATTGAGGTACAATCATTTTGTCTTCTGTAATAAAATGATATTGAAAGAAATCAATATATTATGGATCTGGATAGGATTAAACTTCAAAGTGAAAACTATAGCATATAATTAAATGATTATTATCAAAATGTTGCATGGTTTGAAGAGATTTCTTCTCTTTTGGTTTGTAGTGATTCATGAGCTGAAAAGTACAGATGGTTCAACAAAAGTTAGAGAAAGAATGTTCATCAAATGCCAATTTTCCAACTCTAGCCATCTACAATGAACAAAAAAACTAGTCTGCTCTTTGATATCAGACTCTCCGATGTGTATCAGTAAATTTACTCAATATTTTAAAAAGTAATTTTACTAACTTAGCCATGTACTTAAAAACACTTTCTTCAAAGCCAGGTGGGGTGGCTCAAGCCTGTAATCCCAGTACTTTGGGAGGCCGAGGTGAGGGGATTGCCTGAGCCCAGGGGTTTGAGACCAGCCTGAGCAACTTAGTGAGACCTCGTCTCTACAATATAGCGAAAAATTAGCCAGGAATAGTAGCATGCGCCTGTAGTTCTTGCTGCTTGGAAGACTGAGGCCAAGGGATCGCCTGAGCCCAGTGGGTCGATGCTGGTGTTGCCGTGAGCATGCCACTGCACTCCAGCTTGGGCGAGAAAGTGAGACTCTGACTCAAAAGCAAAACAAACAAAACAAAACAAAAACAAAATTATTCTCTGACTGAAGAAAGCACGCCTCATTCTTCAACTTTATATTTTTTGTGAACTTTAGAGTATCTGTCACATAGCAGGAGATTAATACTTAATGAACTACATACTCACACAGATGTCATTAAGCCCCTTGTAGCAGTCATCAGATATAGAGCTGTCCTAGTTTAGAGAATTAAACAATAATCAAAAAGCAAAGGAGTGCAGGTTGTCAGCAGCAAAATGCCAAGTTGAAATTCAGAAGACGTGAAAAAAACACCTTTCCTTCCTGTCCACTCTCTGGGGGAAGTGTGTGCATTGTGTCTTGACAGATCTATCAACTGGGTTTTTGTGACAGGTCTCACCTCATATAACCTGTGGTCTCATCCAGTCCCTTCTGTAGTAAATGGTATTCACTGGAAATTAGAGTCTTGCCATATAATTCCACTTTGGTCACCCCTGGGCAAGAGGAAACTTTTGGGGGTTTTTCATGTTCTGTTCATCCCTGCTACTAAATAAACAACCCATTTGTGAAAAAAGTTGGTTGTAGTCCGAGAAGCTTACCCTACAATAGAAGAAAGTACATGAACTCTTTTTAAAAAATTTTTTTTTCTTACATTGACATTTAGTGAACGCCGGAGATTATTATAAAGTAACCCAACACAAGCAATTCATCACCTACTGTGTCAGTTTCCCTAAATTGTTTATTATATTATCTTTTTTCTCAATTTAATTTTTAAATTTCTGTTAGGTATTACTGTTGATGAAATTTTAAAAATCAATCTTCTTTGTGTCTTTTTCAGTATGAGTTCCAGAGGAATTCAGTTTGCTTAATTTAGATTTTTTTTTTTTTAAGAGCTAAGTGCTTTAAAATTAACAGCAGCAGCAGCATCTATCTGTTTTCACTTGGACTACATCTGTCCAGTTGCTTTTGCTGGCTGAAGTGGTAGAAACTCAGCCAGAAAAAAAAAAAAAAGAAACTCTAGCAGAATTTGCTTATGGGGAATAAGAAGCCTCAGAGGCTTCCTTTTGTACTAGGGTAGCACAGAGTAAAGTGTGCAGTAGGAATCCATTTGCAAGCCAGGAAAGAGCATCTACAGTGATTTCTTTCTTTCTTTTTTTTTTTTTGAGTTGGAGTCTCTGTAGCCCAGACTGGAGTGCAGTGGCACGCTCCTGGACACTGCAGCCTCGACCTGCTGGGCTCTGGCGATGCTTCCACCTCAGCCTTCCAAGTAGTTGGAACTATAGGTGTGTGCCACCACACCCAGCTTATTTTTTTATTTATTATAGAGATGAGGTCTCACCAAGTTGCCCAGGCGGGTCTCGAACCCGCGGGCTGAGGCAATCCACTCATCTCAGCCTCCCAAAGCACGGGATTACAGGCTGAGCCACCAAACCTGGCTTAATTTTTTGATTTACTGTAGAGACAAGGTCTTGCCAAGTTGCCCGGGCGGGTCTCAAACCTGTGAGTTCAGGCAATCCATTCGCCTCGGCCTCCCAAACAGCTGGGATTACAGGCTGAGCCACCGTGCCTGGCTACAGTGATTCT